CCGTAGTCGTCAAAGCTTGTTGATATCTAGTTATGCCCCAATCGCAGTGCAAGGATGGGCTCAGAATGCTCAATATCGTTATTTCCATGCTGTCTACCATCCAGCAAAGGCCAGTAAACAAAGATAGCTTGACTTGAAACTTTCCAAATCCCAATGCGTTTATAGCTTGAGTCACAGTAAATGTATCTGCCAATGAACCATTTCCAATCATGAATATAGAATTTCAGTGATCACATACACAAAGGCTTTGACACAGGGATTTAAATAAAATCGGTTACAACGCGATGATCATGTACATGATACGTACGTTATAGAGACTGAGAAATATATTTTTATTAGAGGGAACTTGGTTGTAGGTAAGAACGATAACAAGGAAGACGAGAGGAACGAGTTTGTCAATCCAGAGTAACCGATAACATGTCCCGCATGCAATTTTTAAAGTAGACCGTTGTTAGTAACATTTTAATCATACCCAAGCAGTAGAAACTGAGAGCATTCTTGTTTCAAGCTAAAAGTTGTTGGACAACAGACATTAAATGGAAGCTACGTCCCAATGTGTTTAGAAGTCCGGACAATTCCATCGTTCCATCTCTATAGAATCTATATACGATAGATGATCAGTAGTGTACGTAGAATATTTACAATTGTAAGATACATATTTACAACTTACAGTTACCCTCTCCTTTAAGATTTAAGCAGCAGATTATCCTGCACAGAAAAATTGTCAGAAATGTTGTTGTAAGGATACATTAAAACGATTCGACCGTTTATTTGATCGTCACTTGGTTAGAATCGTCGATTGCGCTCGAGGAAAAATATAATAATAATTTACCATCAGGGATCACCACTACGGAGGAGAGTTCCAAAGATTGATCGACGCAATTTCCAAAATTTCTGTCGCATCGCGATGTAGTCTCCGTTCGTGTTACGTTCAACTCGGAACCACGTAGCTCCCTGAGCTCTCCTAATTCGGTGTAACGCTCGTTACATATTTGATTAGACATGATCGCTCCGCGTATATCACAGGTAATAAGAAACAACAATCGACCGATTAGAAGGAGCTCTAATTATTTTAATAACTATCACCATATAGTATGAACGAAACAATTAATTAACCGACTACGTCTATGTGAATCTTCGTTAGCATTCAGAGCGTAACAATTTCCCGCATGTATGTATATATGTATGTATGTATGTACTACATAATGCATATGTGTGCACTATGTGCCAACTGCCAGCACCAGCTGCCTCTGCTCCCTCTGCTCGCCACGTACAGACACTTACACTGCTGCGAAGAACGTGACGAACGTGCCAGTGAAACTAGAAAAAAAATTGTACGTTCAACGTTGCTCCGTCAATCGATTTTACATACAAACAGCAGATTTAATTAAACACGATATGCGAAATAATCGATCTCGTTACGCATCGATTTTTTAAACGCACTTAAATAGTTAATTGGAAGAAAGTTCTAGTGACGCAAAGACTATATCTCCTCTATATTTTCATCGCAGTATAATACGTATACTACCACCTACGCAGTCCATGTACCTATACGTGCATACAATAATGTATATACGTACTGCCAGTGCCAGTTAGTACATACAGGCACAGTATATGTATACCGACTGTTGTACATACTACATACAGCCTCTACAGCTGTAGTACAGCGTCGCACGTCGGCACGTCACACAATTTCAAGATATTTACACGATCGTTTCGCGTAGAAGGATTACAAAAATTTATTGAGAAATGCGAAAAAGTCGGTGTCGAGACAACGTCTGATGCGTACATAATTTGAGATCAAAGAGTATCGGGTAAAATCGTGCTCCTAATTACTACCGGACAGCAACCGATGCGAAACGCGATTCAATGAGTATCTTATCTGCGTGACATATCGAAATCGTCGTATACGCGGTGTTCGTGTATAAATCGATCGTCTTTTATATCATTCTTGTTAATTACGCTTAAATTATGAGTGTCGACAGCGAGAACAAGTCGAACGAAGATATAGCTCCGTTTACACCGTCGTCGTCTTCGTCGCCGTCGTCGTCGACGACGAACCAGGAAGGAAATGCCGACGAATGCCGAAACGACAACGAAGACATCCCGCCTGTAACTCCGGAAACGGTGCTAAGATTGCCTACGATCACAGATAGTACGAGCATCGTTTTTCGTTTATAAATGAAAACAGATGGAACGTCGTCGTCGTCATCATCGTCTCGTGGTCGTTATATGTCAATCGTATCAATTTCAGAGTATTTATGTTCTCCCGAGGCAAACGTTTATGATATAGATTTTACGAGGTTTCAAATCAGAGACTTGGAAACAGGAGCAATATTATTCGAAATAACAAAGCCACCAGCTGCCGGTTGGTAATTAGCGTATCGACGAACGAAAGGAAACGCGTGTTCACGTAGTGTCTACGTTCCAGGGTCAGATTCTAATCACGATACGGAATCACCGCCTCCGCCACCACCACCACCACCACCACCACCACCACCGTCGTTGTCATCACCAGCATCGTCATCACCAGCATCATCGCTACCGCCACCGCCAACGTCGGAGAACGAGGGGGAATCTGGCTGCGAAGATGCCAATACCGGCCGTTTTGTACGCTATCAATTTACACCGCAATTTCTTAAATTAAAGACCGTCGGTGCTACGATCGAGTTTCTGGTGGGTCCCAAGCCGGTGAACAATTTTCGAATGATCGAACGGCATTTCTTTCGGGACAGGCTGCTAAAAACGTTCGATTTTCAATTTGGATTTTGTATACCGAACAGCAAGAACACTTGCGAACACATTTACGAATTTCCTACTCTGCCTGCTGATCTGGGTAAGCGCAGCGGTAGCAGCAGCAGCAGCAAACAATTATCATAATACGATCGTATCGAGTTCAACACGATCTACAAGTATGAAAAATGATTTTCCAGTTTCCGAAATGATAGCAAACCCATTCGAAACGCGTTCAGATTCGTTCTATTTCGTGGACAATCAATTGGTAATGCACAACAAAGCAGATTATGCTTACAACGGTGGTGGACATACGCACGACGTACTTCAGTAGAGAATGCTGGAGGTGAACGGCCTGCAGGAGAACGTTTGCATTTTGCGACGAACGATTGTGATATGAAGTAGTGGTAGTAGTAAATACTTAGCTAATTTAAAAATTGCATTTTTAGTTATTTTCACGTATTGTTTCGACGATCTCTTTTCAATTTTCACGTCGATGTCGAGTTTTAAAAATTTCTGTCAACGATACAGTAAAAAATCTATTATTCACGTTCGACGTTGTCGAACGCGTCGATCACGTCTGCCGAAGCACGACCTTACGTAAAATGACTTTCCAATTTGAACAACGCGAGTGAAACCTTTAAAGAGAAAACGTCAAACATATACTGTTTCTTTTTTTACAAGAATGCAGATAGAAAAATGTCGAGCTTGGTAAGTTTTTAACGAGCACAAAGTTTACTTACACGTTACTTTACACGGCATGAAATTATTACATTTTACTTGACTATTCATCGTCGTCGTCGTCGTCGTCGTCGTCGTTGTCGACGTCGTCTTATTTCATACATATAATGTCAGAGTAATTTCACAAATATATATGTATATATTTACAAAATATGGTGTACTTTTTTTTACATGTGAAATCATGGACACAATATCGACGATCAGGGCTGGTTAATGAAATCGATGGTCGTTCTCAAAAACTCTTCTGGTTTGTCCGCGTGTACCCAATGATTCGCGTCTTTTATGTACGTGAACCGAGCAGATGGGAACAGTAGTTTAATTTTATCATGATCTTCCACTCGTATGAAATCACTTTTACCACCGCCTATGAACAACGTCGGCCCGTCGTAAACTTTCGATCCGACATCAGGAAACACGGCTATCTGGTTCGGGAAAGCTTGCTCCAACACAGGTAAATTAACCCGCCACTTAAATTTCCCAACGTCAGCCTCCACTACGTTCATCGCCAAGAACTACAACGATAAAAAGAATTTCATTTATACGAGCGAGCGAGTGAGCGATCAACAACAGCAGCAACAGCAGCAACAGCAGCAACAGCAGCAGCAGTACATAAAATATAACAACAATGGATCGACGATCTCACCTGACGCAAACTGAAAGAAGAAGTAACTTTCGCGAGTCGTTCCTTTACGATACCACGTGCTTTCGTCAACGTCGCGACTCCTTCAAAGTTTATAGTACTCATCACTCTCATCAATTGTTGTACATCGAGCAGCTGAGGGCTCGTTCTCACCGGTGACATATCGATTACCACCAATTTCTCTACCAGTCGCGGGTTGTGCAAAGCAACGTACATCATCGTAGAACCTCCCATACTGTGTCCAACCAGCACGGACTTTTCAAATCCTAAATCGTCCATGAGTCGAACTATGTCCTGAGCCATGTGTCCGTAGGTCATTTCCAAAGAGTGCGGAGAATCGCCGTGATTCCTCGCGTCTACTGTTATCACCTACGACAAACGACAACGACGACGACGACGAATGAATTCCGAAGCAAGTGGCTCGCATCGTATGAAAGTCGTCTACCTTACGATTCGTTCGCTGGTGAATCGCTTTTGACAACGAACTCCAGTTCGTCTTGGAGCCAAGGAGGCCATGCATCACGATGATAGGATGGTGCGCAGGATTTTTATCGCCGTTCATCGCTTCGTACGAGACGTACGCAAGTTTCACCGGTATCACACTTGAACCGGAAACGAAAAACAAGGGGAAAGAGGAAAGTAGCGAACGAATGAAAATGAGAATATGAAAAAATAATTGCGCGTACGTACGTACATATACGACGCAGCATACATACGAGTCAGAATTGTTACGTATCTGCAGTTTAACAACGAGATCTCTTCTTCGACGATGAACGGCACTTCGCGTTATCGTCAAACGCCGGCACATCGCACTCATAATTTCGACGATGTTATATATATCTCTCTCTCTCTCTCTGAGAACGCAGCTGTACAACGAATTATCTGTATTTACACGCTTAAAATCTCAGTAACATCTTCTCGTGTTGACTTTCTCGGAGGAACGCGCGCGCGCGCCCTCCATCTTATTCTTCGATAACATCAAATCATGAACCACGAACAAATCACGTACATATATACGCGATAACGATGTGTCGCGCAACAGGTACGATTCGTAATTTTTGTAAATTACGATCGGACGAGCACAATGTAAATCGCAAATCGTAAACTGCAACACCTAACGTACAATCAGAGATGAAAAGGTTTTTCATCTCTGGTACAATACATATACGTGTCTACAGTCGTAGCCACGATCGTGGTTTGAGGTTTGAGGTATGTAAGCCGGACTCCCGCGGTGTTGCCATTTTGTTCTCAGCATGCGGATGGGTATTGAAGTATAGGCTGCGGCTCTTGGAACATTTATATCATATATATATATACATATATATATATATAAACCCGAAGACCGAAGTCTGAGTATAACCATAAAGAGGATATATAAAGAAATATATCTGCAGGTATAACCGTTGATAAAAGTCATTCTTACGGTCTGCTGACGGTCTATCCGGTCTATCCACGATTGTATCTTAAGTGTGACTGAGCGTGACTGACGATGAATAAAGAAAGATAGTCGTGTTGGGAGACAGAAAAGTTAGATGAGAGGTAATTAATGCGCCGCGAATGATAGACGTGCGTTCAAGAGTTCGTTGCCTTGAAAATCTGCGACGGGTAATATTCGTCCGACAGCTGATCGACTCGTGCAAAATTCCCGTCCTCTAGTCAAGCGTGTGTCTGCACAATGGCCAATTATGTGTTACGAGTCAAAACGAAATCGGGTCAGAAGGTCGTGAACGGTCTGCTCCCGACTGACCAACTGGTCAAGTTGAAGTCGAAGCTCGTCGAGCTAACGGAAATACCGTCCGAGGCACTTCATGTTCTCTGCGGTTTCCCACCGAGACCGATCAACATGAACGACGAGTCGGCTTCGCTCGAAAAATCCGGTATTAATTCCGGGGATACTTTGATCGTCGAGGAGAAACCACCGATTTATAACGGGACGCAGAACAAGGATATCGGACGATCGCACATCCTGGAAGAGAACAACTTCGACAATAAGCCTGGAGTGTTTATGAAAAAAGTTGTACCTGCAGATAACTCTTGCCTGTTTACCAGCGTCGGTTATGTACTCAATGGTACGGTCAGCAACAGCAGCAGCAGCAGTATGAGATATCCCGTTCATTCCGAGTTTCGTTATCACTGAGTATCGTTTCAGGCAAAATCGACCCTAGCTGTGCCAGCTACATGAGAGAAATTATAGCAAATGCCGTGGCATCCGATCCCGACGAATATTCCGAAGCCTTCCTAGGTAGACCAAACCCTGAATATTGCAAGTGGATTTTAAAACCAGAATCTTGGGGCGGAGCCATAGAACTGTCGATATTGTCAAAGTTTTACGGATTAGAAATAGCGATAATCGACAGTATCAATGCTATAATAAACAGATTTGGAGAGGATCAACAGTATTCGCACAGAGTCTTTCTGATATTCGATGGGATTCATTATGATCCTCTTTACTGGGAGCCTCTCGACGTACGTACTGCAGACTCGTCGCTCTGCTTTTTGCTCGCGACTTTTTTATAATCTGTTCATCGGAGATTTTGTTCGTGACGTAGGGTGGGAGCATACAAACGATGTTTCCTACTCGAGACGAGAAGATACTGTTCGAAGCAGCGGAACTCGCGAAAGAAGTGAAGTCTAGTCGTCAGTTCACAGACGTTCAAAAGTTCACGTTAATGTGCAACGATTGCAAGGCTAGATTAAACGGGCAGCTCGAAGCTCGACAACACGCCAAGGAGACCGGTCACATGAACTTTGGGGAAGTAGCCGTCTAGCGTACCGAAATGAAGCTAATGACGACGACGACGAATTTATAAACCGAACGTTCCCGTTCGAGAATCCTACCAAATTCGAGTCTCAAAGCAAAATTTTCTACTTAAGCGAAGCTCTCCAGCCTGCACGAGGATCGTTTAAACATGTAACATACACAGATTTTTAATTTTGGCTAAAGACCGGAAGTCTCTTGTCAAACGATTAAAACGTAATCACATTTCTCATAGTACAAAGTATTGTCATTCGGTGTGTACCCTCGGTTTCATACGTCACGAGGAACGAACACTTGTTTTAGTTTTCTTTTTTGTTTTTTGTTTTTAATGGAAACGGAGGATCAGTCATTAGTATTTCCCCTCTGCTTTTACCTTGTCCCAGTCATGATCGAACCGGCGCAATTTTATATAACTGCGATTGTATATACTACAAACAAGGTAGAGTTTTTGGTCATCGGAATTCACTTGAAAAAGCGAGATGTCTTGACTATAGTAAATTCCCTGGGTGCAAGGACACATTGAAAATACATGTGCTCTTTGGCGAGATTAAGAATCTGTGATAATCGTGATTAAATTTACCTAAACGAAATATTCATAGCGTTATCGGCAGTGACATTTGTTCTACACTCATAAATATATATATATATGAATATATATCGAAATAAATTAACGATAAAGTTGATTGTTGAGCGAAATGGAGTATACGTAAATTCGCTTTCAAATGGCAGATCGATTTAGTACCGTTAATAATGAATTTTATATATGTAAATGAAATACAGTAAAATGAAGTATATATACACGTACGAGCACGACACGTTTTTCTATATATATACGATATTTAATATTTACTACATAAATTGATGAGATGCAAATAAATACAAGTCGTAACTATTTATCACTCAGGAAAAGATTAGACTCGCCAGTTTATATTTATACAGTATACAGTATATTTTCCAAGTGCAATAAATCATCTATTTACACTACTCGATCTACTATTTCTTCCCGTGCTCCAAACGTTTTTCCGTTTACCAAACGTGTATCAAACGTGTAACGTTTGCACGTTCTTTCTTTTCAAGTATATCAATATCGGGTTCGTTCAGGACGTAGACGGACGAGATCGAGCGCATAATATAAAGACTTGTATACATTCGTTTCCTCCGTTTAAAACTTTTGATTTTTCTCAAGTTTCTCTCTGACTATATATGTTTTGACACGCCTGAAGTTCGTCTATAGTCTATATACGACCGTTAGATGGTAGCAGGCTTTGGTTCTCAAGGGAAATAAAGGATCGATCGATGTTCTCCGCGACGGCCGCACACGCACGAACACAAACGAAGCAGAAACAGAGCGACGACGAATGCACCGTATTTAGTAGGCCGTCCGCAGCAGCAGCAGCAGCTGCCAGCTGAACGAGTCGAGCCAGTAGCCATATAGTCGAGGAGATCGGCGGCATCGTCGGCAGCGAATGGAGCTTTTGTTCTCGCGCGTATGCAATACGCAACTGGTAATAAGAAATGTGATCCGTTCCGTGGCGAAATGGCAACGATAGCTTGTTGCTTTTAATCGCGAAAAATCGAAAGCGGGAGCTCCTGGTATGGTGTGTTACACGAAAACATCACGGATATAGGAAAATGTCGCTGACGGCACGTTCGATCCAAAGAAATTCACTGACAAATAGGTGAAGATGGAAGATGATGCGGACCTCAGAGAACAACTGTTTCACAACACAGTACGGGAGAATATCGTGAGTCACGAATCGAACGCATTTCTTACATTTATAACAGTCTCGTTGTTCATCGATTATTACCGACGCGATCTACGTGGTGGGGTTTTTGAAATATCTTGCGACGTTCCTGCTGCAACGAGCAATCGCCACGTTACCCCATGATTAATTAACTGTTTTTTTTTTATTACGCCTTTCATTCTTCGACGTATCCTCGAGGCTCCTCTGCGACAGACCACTCGGATGGAACGCTAGAATGACCTTACACCCAACCTGATTTAAATTCCGATTTTTCGTCGATTTGTCTATGGCTATACGAACTTGTGAAAAATATATGCTTCCTCGTGTATGCATTTATCTCACTGTCAAGCAGCGAGATAAGCAGATTGCACGAATTGTTGTTGACCGAACGAACGAACAAACTCACCGTCAATGCTTCCAGGAACAGAAGAACGCAGACGAAACCGTTCGAAATTCAACAGTCCCGATACACACTGACCGTAAGCAAGAAAAAACGTATTCGTTGACCGTTGTGACGAGAGAATTTCATCTGTGGAGAACCGACCGTCGTTGAATCTCGAGTTTCTTTTAATCCTCGTTCGAACGTTTCGAATTTAATTCTTTTCGTCTTCAAAAACAATCGTCACGAATTCCTAACGACACGCTCACCGGGTACAAGTATAATTTTAACAATGCGTTTATTCCGCACTAAAATTTTCAATGTAACACTACGCGAATCCACGCCTGCCTACCCTTGATTTTCCTCGATTCGCTTAGCATACTTTATTATTGGACAACTACGATCGGTATTCACAGGTGAATCCCGCGAAATACTTAGCTATCTCGCTTTCTCGTGGATACTTTCACGCAGTGTCGTTGACCACGCACGCGTTATTTCCTGACCGGTTTTTCCTACCATCTTGACGACCGATGAGAAAAAAGTGGTTCCCAACAATTTCAACCAACCGTGCCGTGCACGTCCTAGTCGTTCTAGCCTTCGAGCAGCAAAGCGTTGCACGCTTTTCTTCACACGATCTTTCCGTCTTCCATCGGTCGGACCAACGATCTCTGTTCTGTGACGAATAGCCTCGGCGGTGCTCGGAGAACACGAGTACTGCGATGATTAATTGTACCTAACATTGTGCGGAAATCGTAGACGGATTAGAACTGACTAGATTCGGAATTCAGGACATTTTCGAAAGTACGTTTTTGCGGTGGACAATTAACGACCATAAAAAGATTTCGGCTTTCGCGCCACGCACACCAATACCGGCAGTACTACGTACTACGTATGATACACGGAAACGCATCTTACAGCGAAGCAACCGTTCTTTTCTACGGTCCTATTGCTGCTAAAAATATGCCTCGATCAAAGACTAACTTTATCTCTTATTTTCCTCTCTTATCAATTCACGTGGTACGCGTTCTGTATGCGCATTTTCGTACGAGACAAGTACCCGATTGTGTCGGTCATCGTTCTGAAAGTTCATCGTTTCATTCTACTCGCTCTTGATTTGATTTCAATTATCTTCGCTTCGTATTAACCGATAAGACGCGGTCGATGTTCGATCGATGTTCGATAACGTCTCTGTCTCATTACTCGTCATCGACCTCATCGACTGCCATCACAAACGCTTGAACGATAAATCGATCACGATGAACGTTGTCGCCGTCGCCGCTGATCGTCAACTTCAAATGGAACCTTAGAAAATTAAATCACCGCACGCATTTCGTCACGACCGAAGCACTTGCAAAGCTTCCCTGATCTCTAAATCCTTCTATTTACATTTTACTTCGTAAAACAGGTTCGACGAGTGAGATGGGAACGCGAAAATACATTGTTGACGATGGAACGAAATTGCGTGAACAAGCATGCCTGGACACAACGGGTGTACATTAGGTACACGTTCAGAGACGTGCAAAAAAGAATTGAACGTGGAAACGTTGAATGTCGTTGCCATTCTTTCATATCGTTCACGCTGCTATCGTCTCGTATGCGGCCTTACATACGCACATCGATATGACGCGCTTCGTCACAGTCCTCTGTTGTTCCGTACGTTGTTTACCGTGGATGCGATTCAAAATTAAAGTTACCGCAACACAAACTAAAGATAGAATGAAACAAATGACAAGTTTTTCCGCGATTGGAAAGTTGTGTTTAGTCTCGAATCTGTCTATCTCTACTTTTACCGATTTAAAAAGTGATACGCGCGCGGACTGGTAAGAATATAGTAGAACGATCTCTTATACACCTGTACGTATACGACCCACAATTCAGGAACAGTCTAGCTAAGATTTCGATTCGATTCGAATGGATTAACTGTTCTCTAAACATGCTATGATTCTCGCGTTGTTATATTGACCGCGATACTGATGAATAAAACATCCACGTATCATATAGTACGTTTCGTACTCGTTCGCTATCTCTGCCGTTCTCGTGGCACGCGAGCGTCGCAAGCGTATCGTTGTTATATCGTTCTTCGATAATGGGACGGGCTCTAATGTAAATTGTCACGCGTTACGCGTTATCCTTGCAGATATTCTTCCTTCTGTTTCTGGTCCTGTGCGTTTCGAGTTATGCATTGATCGCGAGGTTCCGGCGAAGGGATCGCGAGGATTACTTCTCCGTGGACGAGGACGAAGCGACCGTCTACAAGATCAGCCTATGGCTGTGCACCGTTGCACTGGCGGTTTCCGTCGGGGCGACCTTGCTGCTTCCGGTCTCGATCGCCAGTAACGAAGTGCTCATTTTGTACCCGAACAGCTATTACGTCAAGTGGCTGAACAGCTCGCTCATACAAGGTACTTGGACAGGCTGATGGCACAGCACCGATGAACCTCGATATTAATCGGCCCGTAGAACGAGAATAGACGATAAAAACGTTCGATATTCCGTAACGAGATCACGCAATAATTCCTGATTTTTGTTTTTAATAATTAGGTCTATGGAATCATGTGTTTCTCTTTTCAAATTTGTCTCTCTTCGTATTTCTGCCATTTGCGTACTTGTTCACGGAGTCAGAAGGATTCGTCGGTTATAGAAACGTAAGATCGGTAAATGAATGGAAATTATCATCTCACCTTCAGCTCGCACTGCACACGGTCTCTCTGTTTAATTTAATCGATTGATTACAGGGAGTAATGGCTAGAGTTTATGAAACCGTCACAGTTCTTTGCCTACTGGGTACACTCGTATTAGGAATGACTTACGTGTTATCGGCACTTGTAGATTATCAAATATCCAGTCTTCACTTGCTCAGTAAGTACGTCGTCGACGGCGACGACGATGGTCACGCGTTATTATCATCCACCTCTGTCGGTCCTACAGCGTTCGTATTTTATTTTTCAGACTTGTGGAGTTACTACTTGCCTTTTCTTTACTCTTGCGTTTCTTTCGTCGGAGTCGTTATGTTGTTGCGTGAGTATACATACACACACACACACACACACACACACACACACACACACACACTCGAGATCGAGAATAATCATTTTCATCGACCAACGACCACGACTAAGACATTTATATCTCTCTCTCTCTCTCTCTCTCTCTCTCTCTCTCTCTCTCTGCCTACAGTATGCACACCAATGGGATTTGTACGGTTGTTCGAAGTAGTCGGTTCGTTTCTCGTTAAACCGCAGTTCCTAAAGAATTTAGATGAAGAGTTCTTCGCGTACAGATTAGAAGAGGATTGCATCCGTAGAAGGTTAGCTTGAAAATCCAGCAGAACCCCCTCCCGAAAAGATTCTCTATTGTACAATACAGTAAAAAGGAAACGTTGTTACGTGCATAGACTACAACACGCGAAAGCGACGGGAAAATCGTACGTTTCGCCAGTGCCTATGTCGATACCGAATTGTGGTTCTGTGCTTGAAGAGGACGACGAGCTGCTCAACCCAAATCCGAGCCTGATGTGCTTGAGGAACGGCGCTCTCCAGCGCGGATTGTCGCAGCGATTGGAAGACGTTCAGAAACGGAGGAAGATCTTGGATCAGCAAAGGCGGACCTGGTGGGTTCGACGCACCTTGCTCTACCCCTTGGCCATGCTGGCGCTACTTATATTGTCCACTGCCACGGCTCTCCTAGCGGTTCAAAACACGTTAGAGCTGCTGATCGGTATCAAAGCGTTGCCCTTGAGCACGAGGGTACGTATCGTTTCGTTCACCCGCTTACCCCCCCCCCCCCCCCCGTCTGACCGTTCGATTCGACGATCTTTTTAGCAATTCACTCTGGGCATTACTTCACTGTCGAAGCTGGGACCTGTCGGAGCAGCGATAGAAGTATCTGTAATTTTGTATTTAGCCGTTACGAGCGCGATAGGTCTGTACACCCTGCCAGGCGTCAGGTCGGTTCGACCTCGGCTTCGTTCCACGCCGCTTACTCATCTGATCGCCAACTGCGCTCTTCTTCTTGTACTCAGCTCGGCGTTACCGCTACTATCTCGAATATTAGGTGAGCGCGTTTATCGGGACGCACGATAAATCGTTCGATTCATTGCGAACTCGCATTTATTCGCCTACTCTCGACCGACACACAGACACGTTTGTTTCAGGTATGACGAACTTTGATTTGCTGGGCGATTTCGGGCGCATCGAATGGCTCGGTAATTTTAAGCTAGTATTGTTCTACAATTTAATCTTTGCCACGGCCGCGATCGGTTGTCTGACGACCAAATTCACGGCTACCGTTCGCAAAGCGCTGAGGAGCAGTCTGATGGGCATCTTCAGAGCCGAGGGTAAGAAAAATTCTCTGGGGATGTTCTTCGCCGCGAAAGAAGATTGACTCGAGAAACGAAAACAGATATGTATATATATATACATGTGTATGTGCGTGCGTGTGCGTGTGCGTGTATATCTGTCGTTTAATGAGACTTCAACTTTTAGGGAAATAATTGGATTTGCATAATATTAATCGCGCGCGCGCGCGCGTGTACGATAGTTGTATCAATTATTTATTATACGATCGCTATTTTAATAATTATTTACTGAAAGTATACTAATAATACCAGTCTTATACAGAAATGAACGTGAACTCGACGCTAACTCCGAGGCGGCAGTATTGTGATAATAATAAAAAAGACACGTGTGTACGCGGGTTTAGCGGGAGGACGTAATCATTTCTGAACTGTAGTGAAATAAAATGATTTTCTATGTACGATACACATTGACCATTTCCATGATGGAAAGGACACTAGATTCGAGTGTATGCCGGTTAGTAAGTAACTGATTTTCGTTGTTTGTGAACGAGAAATGGTGCCGTACAGATAGGCAACGTGCCTAACGTGTTACTCTAACGATGTAAGGTGAAATAAGATCGTTAGTTGACAGACGATATACGACGCGCTGTAAAACTCAGTTTTGTTTTTAAACGCGTTTCGAATGCATTTTTATCGAACGACTCGAATGGTCAAGCTTGTCGTTATAAAATCGACTGTTCAAGTCGTATTCGTAGCGAGTGTAATATATCACGCATTTTAAGGTAGACACACGCAGCAGACTGCATGGATGATAACATATGAATGATCTTAAAATTTTCGTTATCGTCTCGACTGATTTTTGTTTCTCGTTGTTAGTTCCGTCGCCGCCATGGTGGTTTGAACGATCGAGGATTTCAATTATTTATTTTAGCTTAAAAAAAGCTCGCTCTTCTGTCGCTTGACCGTGTTGATACGTTTGCCATGTTCGTTTAACGAGGTCGAAATATTACAACAATATTATGTGATATACATTCATGTATCTTGTCAACGAGACAATACACGGATATCGTTAAGACACACACACGAAACAGCGAGATGTATATTAAATACACGTTTAATCAGAACAGTATCTCAGGATATTAAATAATGCTTAATATTTGTTAATATATCACCAGCAAAGTCGTGGTGGACTATAAAGAAATCGGACTTTTTTCGCTGGGAGAGTTCTTTATACACCGAACTACATGTAAATGAATAAATAAAAGGAAAAAACACTTTCAAATATTCAGCGTGTAGGTCAATAACGTCCATTCGTTCGATGAACGAAATGTTTGCTGAAAGTCGGTTTTATTTTTTATTATTAACAACAGCTTGATGAACAACGTCTCGAGAGTTCCAAACTCACGATGCCGATAGGCTTTCAACCTCCTCCTCGTCGACGTCTTCGTTGCTCCTCACACCTTCTCTTATACCATACATGTGTAAAAATTTAATCAACGACTTTGCCCCGACTCCGTACCGGATTATCTTGTAACGGTTCGGTTCGGACAGATCGACGATCGTGGATCCTGTTCTCAACTTTTTGGACGATTTACCGAATCTGTCGCAATCGTGAAAGACTCCGCCTAACTTTGGCCACAGGTGTTCGAACTCCGAGGCGAACAGGCAGCTATCTTCGCTGCTCAAATTCGCGCTGGTCAGCGCCAACGGGCCAGTTATTTCCGAGACACAATGGATAAATTTGAAATTTGGTATTCTGATGCCTACGGTCTCGTGATTCGGATTCAATGCCGGATTTAGAGCCGGTGTTCGTCTTAAAACGATCGTGTACGGTCCAGGTAGTATAATGCTCAAGAGTTTCCTTGGCAAGTGATCGACGACGGCCCATCGTTCTATATGCGACAATCGGCCGACGCAGATGGAGAGAGGCTTGGTCCGATCGCGGTTCTTGATCGCATATAATCTTTCGATGGAACTGTCGCTCGACGCGAGACCGGCGAGACCGTATATCGTATCGGTTGGTATCGCGATGATCTCATTTCTTTGTAGTAACGTCGCAGCTATCGCTACACTTCGTTTTCCTTTGCAAATCCAGTGATTACCGCTGATTCCTTTCACGTGGTCCAGCTCCATCGCGGCTCCGTCCAGAAATGCGCTCATCGGTCCCAAATGTTTTGCACTCGTCACAGTTCTGTTTCCAACAACGAACGGCAAGGAACGAAACTGCGTCGTCGATGACGGATTTAAAACCAAAAAAAAAAATAGAGAAGTACACACGAAATCATTATTGATGCATTGAGAGCGAGCTACATAGTCTCAATTTGATAAACTCACAGGTCGATCGTTTACGCGCGCTATGAAAGATAATAATAAGGACAGACTAATGCAAGTACCTTTAGTCGCGCCAATTGTGACCACATTGAGGATTGCAGCATTTGTAAAACGTAGTCATCGGCTCGTCGGCGGATCTGGTTTGAATCTGCATGAAATACGCTCGCGAATTCGAACACTTCGGACAACGTTCGTCCGTCGAGTCGACGTTCTCCCAGGCCGCACTTCCGCCTAGCACGTCGTCGAGCTCTTTCAACTTGGGATATGTGCGACTGCTCACTTTTCTTACGATGTTGAATATGTATGGGCACGTGTTACACGCAAAACGTAAGCAATGCAGAGCTTCCTCGACCCGAAGCACGTTACCACAAGTGGGACAAAACATTAACATTATGCGAATGCGTCCGAATCGTCAGCCAGTTAACTTAATTGTCTGTATTAAAGAGCCGATGTACCTGTTTATACTGAAGCGTTACACGGTTATGGCAGGTTATACGATACGTGCATCGCCATGGGATCTTTTACTCACGCGCGCTACAATTCACTAGCGGCTAGCAGTGGTTGGTGGTTGGTGGTGATAGCATTATACTCATTATTATTATTATTTAATGTAAACTGGTACATACTAGGCGAACGTATCCGAGTGCGACGAAGATGACAATGGTCTGGAATTGCTCGGTAAAGAGGACGAGGTCGTAGGTACACGGACAACAGCGAGACATAAATCTTGGACAATATCCTTATTCAATAATTTGCACAATATGAATATCTTATGTTTGTACAATCACTTCATTTAAAATCCTATTTTAATCGTTTCTGTTTTTCTTCGTCCCGTCGAATCAGTGCATAGACTTTGGCAAGAACATCGCCGCACCTACCTTCGACTTTAACAACCGCCAGATCGTCGGCCCTTGTCTTCCCAATGTTTATTATGCCGATCGGTTTCCCAGCGCTGTTTGCTTGCAAAGCTATTCTATACCCGGAATAAGTAGTCAACGTGCTTCCAATGATCAACAGAGAATCAGAGCGATCGACGTTGTACTTGACGGTCTCTACTGTTTGTCGTGGGACATTGTCCCCAAAGAAAATAATGTCAGGCTTCAGTACACCACCGCAATTCTCGCAGGTTGGTACTTTAAATCCTTCTACTTGCTCCTAGCAAAAAGTCAATCGTTCAGTTCGACATTTTCGAACGATTATTTTACGAAATCCGTGTTGTATTCACTTGTGAAAGGTCCACGTCTCCATCGGGTCTGATCATCGACGTGGTCACGTTCATGTCTGGATTCAATCTGTCGAGAACCTCCTGCAAATAATATCTACATATCCTTTCGTCACAGTCGAGGCACATTACTTTGAACGCTGTCCCATGCAGTTCTATTACCCTCCTGCTACCAGCTTTCGCGTGCAGGTCGTCGACATTCTGTGTAACGATGCACCTCACTTTATTCTCATCCTCTATCAGCCTGAGTATTTTGTGCGCCGTGTTCGGTCTTACGGAGGAAAATCTGTAGGATCCACCACGATGGTACACATTATTGTACGTCATCTAGATCGAACCGTATCCACTATTTTTTATATAGTCGATTTACAAACGGCGTACAACCTCGGCCAACCCACATAATTTCTGGCCCAGTATCGTCTACGAACGGCCTCGCTGTTACAAAATTCTTTGTACAAGACCGGTCTCCTGTCGCTTCTCGCATAAAGTCCCACGCCTTCCGACCTGTAATCTGGAATACCACTTTCCGTGGAGATTCCTGCCCCTGTCACTACGCATAGACGATCGAAATTTTCGATGAAAGCCTTCAACTTCAGTAAATCGGACTCTTTTACGGGCGCAGATTTCGGAACGAAGTTAAAACCTGACGAGTACGTTCTATCTAAAACAATAACAACAAATTTTTCTACAGAAAGTTCTTTAATCATGTGACGTTTTCGAAACAGTATCACGAAGATGGGAGCTCACATAACACAGTTCTAATACTATTTATAATTTTGCACGAGTTCACGCAAATAACGTTCACTTCGGCGAACGAGATCATTTATAACGATAAATATAATAGTGAAATGAGTAGCGTTTATGCTCTAATAAGATCGTCGGCAATGATTTGGAACTGATTTGGAAGAAATGAAAACAGCAGATGTATGAATTAACATCAGAGTGAAAAACGCTAGGGAAAGATTCTCCATTCGTCACTATCCTAGTCCATCGCCGAACTGTAAATCTATGAATCTATTCAAAGAAACGTAGAAAAGACTCGTAAAAGGGCAGAAACGCCTTAGTTGAGCAAACGCCAGCAAACGCGTATTTGTCAATCGAAATGAATGTCGAAAAATAAAATACTGCACGAAAGGTATAGTTATAATTGATGATTTTGGTGATGCTGATTGGTGCATAGAAAGACCCTCGCGTCGCGCGCGCGCGCTTCACGTGAAGCACGCGTAAGTAACAGATGATAAGTCAGAGCACACGTGGTGATGAATAGATTGGTAAATTAATTATTACTGAATTTCAGTAAGTAATGTTGTACTGAAGTTTGTGCGGCTGCCGGAGAGCTTGAATAAGACACAAGAAATGGAGCATACACACTATCCAGTGTTGTACTATAGAGACACCCAGGAGATACTTGGTCGCGCTCAGCAAAGGACGATTTTCAAAATTAAATTACTACTTTAAATCGAATTTAAATCGAATGCTACTCACGGCAATGCGCGAATATAAAGATGACGAGATACGAGTATGATTTTTAATTTGTCACCAGCCTATCGTAAGACGATGCTGCTCGATTGCTCGATCAAAATGATCTGATCAATCAATGTACTGATAATACTTCGGCCTAACTCGCAGTGCTCTCTGCTGCGGCTGGTGGCGAGGCTTCTCCACCACGTGAACGGTCACGATATTGTACTGTTTTCGCGACGATTCGATCACGGCTCCGTAGTAAGTCCTAAGGGTGAAGTAATATAGAAACTCGGCGGTTGTCAGCAAAGAATAGCCGAGAAAAAGACTGGCGATTCCGCCAAACGACACGAGTAAGTCGAAGTAACCAAATCGTATCTTTCTTTTGTAAAGAACCGGTGGCCAGTTCATCAATGACAGCGTACTTTTGTTTTTACTCCCGCTCTCCCCGCTCTCCCCGCTCTCCCTCTTCAGACTGTACGACGTGTGATCGCAATGGAGTAGACACTTACACTCGGTCACGTCGAACGGTACGGTGTTTAAACAAGAATACCTGCGGAGGGGACATTCCGTTTTATCGGTGATCGATAAAAACCATGGCAAGCATCGACAATGCGCGAACACATTGTCTATGAAACAATTTAACTCGCAAGCATAATTCCGGTCGTCGTAAACGCATTTCCGCTGTTCTAAACGCAAATAGCGAACGGCGGGCGTCGTGTACGTTATGTCCGCGACAAATTCGGCTTCCAACGGGCTCGCGATGATCGTCACAGTGTCCTCGTGGCCTCGTATCGGAAATGAATTCTTCAGTTGCAAAAAGTAAGCCCTGTAAAATTGAAAATTGTTGCATTCTACTTTCGTTCTGCCCGGACGTACAATTTTGACAAACGGGCATTACTCTACGGGCATGTCTGGAACTTGGAACGCCAAATTGTACGTCGGATCCGTCACTTTGACCGGTTCCAAATTCGTCGATATGCAACAGGCGCCCAGATAGAACATTCTTTTAAATACACTTTCACAAGACACGTTTTTTCCCCTATAAAAATATCGACGATTTTTTTCTCATCTTTAAACTCGCCAACTTCTCACGCGTCCACGCTGGAACGTTTCTCTTTTTTCCTTCTTTTCTATATCATCGTACATGCATTTGATGTCATCATATGCATTCTACGATGGTTCCAGCGTTTAAGGATGTATCGGCTATACAGTCAATCCCAAAAGTTTATGCACTTTAGAAACGTATTTTTTAAAAACAAATCAGACGTCGGAAGAACAATGCTAATAATAAACAACAACAAAAATTTTTTCAATTTTTTCGAGATTTTTCCAAGGGGTACCCCTTCAATTTCTTCCAAATTTTCGTTTTTGGCCAATAACTCCCAAACCGCTGGACATACGGGAAAACTGCATAGGACCTTTCTTGTAGAGGACGACGAGATCTACAATTTCTATATAAAAACTTTTCGCTAGCGGCAATAGTTTACGAGTAATTTGTGAAAAACTGTTTTTTCGTTTTTCGTCAATAACTCGTAAAC